TCAGGAGGCTGAGATCTGAGGATCATGGTTTGAAGCATGGGCAGCAGTTGGTGAAACTGTCATCTGCAATTAACCAGTAAAAAGCCAGAAGTGGAGGTATGGCTCAAGTGGAAAAGTTTGAGACTTGAGACAAAAAAAAAAAGAGAAAGAAAGCTAAGTAATAGCTGGGAATGTGGCTTAGTGGTAGAGTGCTTATCTAGCATGCATGAAGCCCTGGGTTTGATTCCTCAGTACCATATACCAGAAAAAGCTGGAAGTGGCACTGTGGCTCAAATGGTAAAGTGCTAGTCTTGAACCCATAGAGGCTCAGGGATAGTACCCAGGCCCTAAGTTCAAGCCCCAGGACTGGCAAAAAAAAAAAAAAAAAAAAAAGCTAAGTGAGAGTATAAAGCTCTGAGTTCAAGCCCCAACTACCAAACACACACAGAGCTAGGCATTGGTGGCTTCTACCTGTAATCCTAGCTACTCAGAAGGCTGAGATCTGAGGATCATGGTTCAAAGCCAGCCCAGGCAGGAAATTCCATCAGACTCTTCTTTTTTTTTTGAGGGGTCTGGTTGTGGGGCCTGAACTCTGGGCCTGGGCGTTGTCCCTCAGCTCAAGGCTAGCGCTCTACCACTTGAGCCATAGCACCACTTCTGGCTTTTTTAAATTTTCTGCTTATGTGGTGCTGAGGAATTGAACCCAGGGCCTCATGCATGCAAGGCAAGCGCTCTACCACTGAGCCACCTTCCCAGCCCTCCATGAGACTCTTATCTCCAATAAACCATTAGAAAACCGGAAGTGGCACTGTGACTCAACTGGTAGAGCACTGGCCTTGAGCTGAAGAGCACAGGGACAGAGCCCAGGCCCAGAGTTCAAGCCCCATGACCAACAAAATAAATAAATAAGTAAATAAAATAAATAAATAAATGAAATCCCACTCACCAGCAATGACAAGAAAATGAGACAGAGCTACTTACCCACTGTCCTCAAGGTGAATGAAAGGGTCATGCCATGATTACAACAGGTCTTGATCTTCTCTCACAGATACAGTCATACACCCTGGCCAATTCTGCCTTGGACTGTCACCTCACACTATTGTGTCTTCCTGTCACACCTTTCCCCAATTATACGCGCCTTAGGCTGACCTCCAGGTACTTGCGTTTTCTCCGGGCAGCTGCTGGAGGATCCAGGGGCACCCAGACGCAAAGCCTGGCAACTCTTCACTTCCTCCTTGACCCTTCCAGGCTTCGGGATCCTGGCCTGTGTGCTCCTTGATCCTCATGAAGGAGCAAGACTTGACCATTCTCCTCCCCTCTGACCTCCCATGGACAGGTTTGTTGATTTGTAGCTAGGGTTGATTGACCAGTTATTACATACCAGGCCATAGGATAAAGGTATAAAGTGGATTTTCTCGTTTATTATAGAGGCTGCTGTTTTTATGAGGAAGAAAAGCACGAAGTTACAAAACTTACCCCAGTCCCACAGCGAGGAAGTGGCTGGAGCCCAAGCCACTAACACCTGCTGTCTTGCCAGTGATGGTGTGGTGTTGATGGGAGAGGGCCCAGGATGCTGGCAGGCAGCCTGGGCTTAAACAGCCATCCTTACTACTCCACGATGACACAGTACCTGATGGTTTTCCATTAGTGCCTGATTCAGGGGTTCGTTTATGTGTGAGATGTGGTCCCAGGTTACACAGAGTCGACTTGTATTTCCCATAACTTTTTCCTCTTGAGTTAATTTAGTTACTGATCTCTTCCATTTGGGGGAAAGATATATCACAAACCAGGCAGTTGGTTCTCAACGCCTGTAATCCTGGCTACTTAGGAGGCTGAGATCTGAGGATCATGGTTTGAAGCCAGCTCAGGCAGAAAAGTCTGAGATTCTTATCTCCAATTTAACCAGCAAAAACAGACAGACCAAGAAAAAAAGTGGAAGTATGGCTCAAGTGGTAGAACCTTAAGCAAAAAAGCTGAGCAAGAGTGTAAGGCCCTGAGTTCAAGCTCCATAGCCTGCACAAATAGAAAAATGTAGATCCCACCATACGAATGCGCCCATGCACATGCATGCACACACAGTATAAGGTACGAGAGAAGCCATTGGCATCAGGCTTTCTAGAAGTGTGTGTACATGAGTTCTCCAATGTCTGAAGTCACCCCCATTCCAGCACTTTCATACTGGTCTGTTCATCCCAAGAAGGAAGTCACCTCTCAACACGAGTAGGTGCTTGGGAAAAGGTGAGTGGACAAGTAGAGTAATGGAAGTTGCAGGAACCAGGAAGCATTTTTGTTTCCTACTGGGTCTGGCCAGGCCAGGTCAGGCAGGTCCATTGGCAAGACAGGTATAGCAATATTACTGGGTTGCACCGAGGACCAACTGGCTTCAGATTCTATTTTTCTTTTTCTTTTTTCTCATCATGGGGCTTGACCTCAGGGCCTGAGTTCTGTCCCTAAGTTCTTTTGCTCAAGGCACGTGCTCTACCACTTTGAGCTCCACTTCTGGTTTTTGAGTGATTAATTGGAAATAAGACTCTATCAGACTTTCCTGCCCAGGCTGGCTTTGAACTGGGATCCTCAGTCTTATGAATAGCTAGATTTACAGATATAAACCACTGGTGCCTGGCTGGCTTCAGATTCTTTTTTTTTTTTGGGGGGGGGGTCCGGTCATGGGGCCTGAACTCTGGGCCTGGGCGCTGTCCCTCAGCTCTTCAGCTCAAGGCTAGCACTGTACCACTTGAGCCACAGCACCACTTCCGGCTTTTTTCTTTTTGCTTATGTGGTGCTGAGGAATCGAACCCAGGGCCTCATGCATGCAAGGCAAGCGCTCTACCACTGAGCCACCTTCCCAGCCCCTGGCTTCAGATTCTTAATGCTTTCTAATAGCGCCAAGGCCTTGGCAGGAGCTGTGGTCCCAACAAACAAAATGGAGCCCGGTGTGCTTGATCCCAAGGTGTCCATGCTGGTGAAGTGTCTGGTCTTGGCAGAGTCCCTGCAGCCTGTGCCCTGTCCCCATGCTACCTTTAGGTCCCTCCTTTGGGATATTCTCTAGAAAGAGTCCCAGTTACCTGAAGTGGGAACTGGGAACCCAAAAACTTGGGCCTGCCCTGCTAGAACCTTCTCTGAGCCTTTGTCTCCCTGTCTATAAAATGAGGAAAGCAGATCTTAATCACATTTGAAAGGAGTAAGTTTCATTCCTGTATGTCAGAGGTTCATGCATGTATGATATCCATGTATGTTAGACATTCATATATGTAAGGTGGTACCTGGCCAGGAATTTGTTTTTATTATAGTCGAGTCACATCATAAACACACTAAACTCAGTGAATCAACTACATGTTCGTGGCAACAAAGGAGGTAGAGAAATGCCAGTGTGGCGGGGCGCTGGTGGCTCACGCCTGCAATCCTAGCTACTCAGGAGTGACCACATGACCCAGTCAGCCAGCAGGAGGGACTTCCAGGAGATTATGGAGCTGATGGAGTGATCCTACCACCGATCCTTTAGCTGCCAAAGTAGTTCCACTCTATCCATAATGAGCCTACTGACCCCAGTGACACTTTCCAGCCCCACCTCACCCCCATACCTGGCATTTCCTTTCTGAGTGCCTAAACCCTAGAAACCTGGAGCACAGAGAGCCACCCCAATCATCACCCCAGTGTACAGGTAGAAAAGTGACTAGCAGCTTTCTCCCTCCCGCCCCCAGGACTGATGGGCTTCAGGGAATGTGGGATGTTTTGTGCTGAAAGCTAGGTACCAGTAGCTCACACCTGTAATCCTAGCCACTCAGGAGGCTGAAATCTGAGGATCATGTTTTAAAAGTCAGCCCACAGCAAAGTCTGTGAGACTCTTATATACAATTACCCACCAAAAAGCTGGAAGTGGAGCTATGGATCAAGTGGTAGAGCATTAGTCTTGAGCAAAAAGCTAAGGGACAGTGCCCAGGCCCTGAGTTGAACACACATGTGCGTGCACGTGCGTGCGTGTGTGCGCGCACGCACACACACACACACACACACAGAGCAGTCACCTTATCAGACTTTGAAATGAGACAATCTTTAAAGCCCGTGGCCCTGCTTTCTCTCTTAGGAAGCTTGCCTAGTCTCTTTAGCTGGCTACAATACATTGGACCTCTTCTCCAATGGGTCCTTCAACCTGCCCTCCACCCTCCAACCCTATTCCAGAATTCCAGTGATTGAGGCCATAGTTTGCCACACCTATATGCATATATATATGTATCCTATATGCACATATATATATATATGTATCCTATATGTATATATATATGTATCCTATATGTACCAGGAGGAGGGCAGGGGGGGCAGATGACTGGGCAGCCCTCCCCTGGCACTGTCATTCCGTCCCTCTCTACAGCTGCCGAGTACTCTTGGAAACATTTAATTACAGGCAAAGATCTCAAAGGCTGGTCTATTAACTCCAGGGAAGCATTTCTTTCTCCTTCTCCTTGGGATGCTGGCTGCTTACACAGTAATGCAATTAAACTGAAGATCAGACAGCCTAAGGCCTGAGGTACTGGTGAAATGGAGAGACATGGGGGGGGGGGGGCTGGGATGGACTGAGCAGTAGGGTCACAGAAAACAGGGGGTGCCAGAAAGGATCCGGGCTAAGGGGAACAGAGAAAACCACCAACCATGAAAAGGGTGGTTGATGGGCCGACCTGGGGACTCCAGCATTGCAAACCTGCAGAGGAGGGGTCGGAGGCGTGGTTCAGGTGGTGGAAAGCCAGCTAGTGAGAGAAAGCATCAGATGTAGAGTTTTGAGTCAGACTCGCCCCCCCCCCCCCAAAAAAAAGGGAAAAGAAATAAACCTGGACCGGCACTTGGAGGTGGCGGCGGAATTACAGATGTGGGTTACAGGTGTCCACGCTGCCACGCAGACACCCCCGCACGCAGCCTTCTATCTGGTCGGAAGAGGGACGGGAAGATCGCGTGGACATGGGGTCCAGACTCCCCTCCCCCCTCATTCCAGGGGAACCCGCAAGCCCTGACTGCATCCTCCCTTGCAGGCTGCGACAGCGACCATTGGGGTCCCCACTGCAGCAACCGCTGCCAGTGCCAGAACGGCGCCCTGTGCAACCCCATCACCGGCGCCTGCGTGTGCGCCGCCGGCTTCCGAGGGTGGCGCTGCGAGGAGCTGTGCGCGCCGGGCACGCACGGCAAGGGCTGCCAGCTGCCGTGCCAGTGCCGCCACGGCGCCAGCTGCGACCCGCGCACCGGCGAGTGCCTCTGTGCTCCGGGCTACACCGGCGTCTAGTGAGTAGCGCGGAGGGGCGGGGCCTGGGGGCGGGGCCTGGGGGCGGGGCCTTGAGAGGGGGCAGGGCTTGGGTGGAGCCCGCGAATGGGCGGAACTTGTGTGAAGAGGTGACGATTGGTGGAGCCAGCAAAGGGGGCGGGGTTTGGGAAATGGGGGTGGGTGGATGGGGATAGGGCCTTGTGAGGGGCGGGGCTTGGGTGGAGCCTTTGAACGGGTGGGGCTTGGGCGAAGGGGCGGGGATTGGTGGTCAGTAAATGGGGCGGGGCCTTGCAAGGAGCTGGATCTGGGTGGAGTTTTGTGAATGGAGCCGGATTGGGGTGGAGTCAATGAATGGGACCGGGCCTTGTGAGGGGCGGGGTTTTGTGAAGGGGCGTGGTCTGGTCGCCCCTCACCGCGCCTTCTGAGTTCCCAGGGCCTTACCTCTGGGTGGTGGGAGCTAGAGGAAGGGCTAAATAATCTGGGCTGTCACGTCTGCATTCGGACCCCAAGCCTAGCAGTCTAACATGCCCAGGTTTGGCCCACACATGGGCTCAGATCTACGCCTCGGGGTCACTGGTGGTCCTCCAGAGACTGCATAGGTGGCAATTCTCAAGACCAGAGGAGCTCAGCGAACAACTCCCACGGGCCCTTTCCTGGCACACTGCCCAGACTTCAGCTTGAAATTCTTGACTTTAACCCCTGAACCACTGTGATCAGCTGTGCCTGATGGACCCTTCCGGATCTAGAAAGGGAAGGAGCGAGCCCTCCAATGGATGATGTGCAGATTAGAAGGTTACTGTGTTTGTTCCCCCTCCCCCGCCCGCCTCACCACCACCACACTTTCTCTGGTGAGACCCCCCAAGCAGCCCCAGTTCCCTGGAGAATCCTCATTGTCTGGGAACCTCCAAAGCACTTCAGCTGAACCCTGACTGAGGTTCTTCTAGGTCTTGTTTTTGGCCAGCTCCCAGGACAGTTTTGAGCCAAAGGTTCTAGCCTAAGACCAAGACCCAGGCAGATTGTCCCCCCACCCTTCAATAGGGTCCAGAGCTCACCACGGCAGCTAGCTAGGAACCTTCTGGAGCTTGGAGGGGACATCACTTAGATTGTTCCCATCTGGACATAGGAAGTCTTAAAGGCAAGACCCAGTGTCCTAGCTCATGCTGTTTCTTCTGCTGGATATGCCCTTCATTCTCAGTGAAATTAACTTTGCCTTCAAGGCCCAAGTGAAGTGTGTTCCTCTGAGGGAAGAATGCCTCAGCCTCCTCCACAGAAGACCATTATACTAAGGACATATGTGAGCTCATCTGTGTTGCCCCAAGCTCGCTGCACCTTAATATATTATCTCTAAGCTCTTCTGCCCCCTGCTGGCCTGAAGCAGTACTGCAACCTTCATTGACCCTGTTAGGGTTCTTGCCTGTGGGGTACACCAGTTCTTAGCTCTGGGCATGGGGATTGGCAGCAAGGGGCTGCAATGGGAATGTGGCTGTTTACACCTTGCTTCTCCATGTAGCTGCGAGGAGCTGTGCCCCCCTGGAAGCCATGGAGCTCACTGTGAGCTGCGCTGCCCCTGCCAGAATGGGGGCACCTGTCACCACATCACCGGCGAGTGTGCGTGTCCTCCAGGCTGGATGGTAAGTGGACCTTCAGGATCTGTGTGGGTGCTGTAAAAGGTCTGAGCATCTCTCACATATACCTTGAGAAGGTCAATTCCTTCCCCATCCTGAGTACTCCTACCCAGTGATAGTCACAAGGCCCCATTAAACACTGGCAGTAGCACCATGAATGGACACCGCTAGGTGCTGTGTTGCCTAAGGAAAGTGACTTAACCTCTCTGAGTCAACAAAAGAGTTGAACCTGTCTCATAAAACTGGCTCTGTCAAACCGGGCACCGGTGGTTCCCATCCGTAATCCTAACTACTTGGGAGACTGAGATCTGAGGATCAAGGTTCGAAACCAGTCAGGAAAGTCCCATGGATTTTTTTTAATCTCCAACTAACCACCAAGAATCTGGAAGTGGAGCTGTGGCTCAAGTGGTAGAGCTCTAGCCTTGAGCAAAAGGAGCTCAGAAACAGGGCCCAGGCCCAGAGTTCAAGGCCCAGGACTGACCAAGAAATTTTTTTAAAAAATGGCTCTGGAAGGTAGCTCAGTGGTAGAGTGCTTGCCTTGCATGCATGAGGCCCTGGGTTCGATTCCTCAGCACCATATAAGCAGAAAAAGCTGGAAATGGCGCTGTGGCTCAAGTGGTAGAGTGCTAACCTTGAGCTGAAGAGCTGAGGGACAGTGCCCAGGCCCAGAGTTCAGGCCCCACAACCGACAATAAATAAATAAATAAATAAATAAAATTTGACTACGTCTTTAGGCATAGGTACTCATCTGGGCTGCCAGATATGACCAAAAGGGCTGGGAAGGAGGAGACACCACCACAAAATACAATTCACTTGAACTTATAAAATGTCACCCTCTCCTCTCACACTCCTCTGGTTTTGTGAGGTTCAGAATCTGTATTTTCTCAACTTCTCCAAGTGCTTCTGAATGCAGACTTGAGCCGGCTGTCCCATAGAGGGGTGACCCATTGAGCGGGACTCATGGAGGAGAGGGGAGGAATCATAACTTCACATGAGGCCCAAAACTTTAGGACTTAATGTCCCATGATGACTCTGTCAGAAGCTTCCGTATCTTTGGTCTCTGCTTCTCCAGTTCAAACCAGATCTAGCTACAGCAAGCCCTGTCCTGTAGGGCTGCCTTGGTGGTTGGGAGCTCAGATAAGATAATGTGTGCCTGAAGTGCTCCAAAGACACAGTTTACAGCCAGGGACAGTGGCTCATGCCTGTAATCCTAGCTTCTCAGGAGGCTGAGATGTGAAGTTGGAGGTTCAAAACCAGCCCAGACAAGGAAAGTCCATGAGACTCTTATCCCCAATGAACCAACAGAAAACTGGAAGTGGTGCTCTCGCCTTGGGCTGAATTGCTCAGGGACAGCACCCAGGCCTAGAGTTCAAGCCCTACAACCGACCAAAAAAAAAAAAAAAAGACACAGTTTACAACTGTTGGTTTTTTATTTTTATTTTTGTCAGCCGGGGGCTTGAACTCAGGGCCTACGTGCTATCCTTGAGCCTTTTTTGCTCAAGGCTAGTGCTCTACCACTTGAGCCACAGCTCCAGTTGTGATTTTTCTGGTGGTTTATTGGAAATAAGAGTCTCACAGACTTTCCTGCTGGGGCTGGCTTTGAACCACGATCCTTAGATCTCAGCCTCCTGAGTAGCTAGAATTACAAGAATGAGCCACCAGCATACAATTGATTTGTATCTGTGGATACCACCTTCTACCCGTAGAGACACGCCTTGCCCCTACCCCCAGCCCTGTTCAGCCACCAAAGTCCTGTGTGTGCCTCTTCTGCAGACCTAAGATCCTCAAAGCTGGGCAGGCTCACCAAGGCTGCCTTTTAGGCTAAGGCTCTGTCTGTGTCTCCCATGATGTTCTTTATTGGAGGGCAGGTTCTGGGACACACCCGTCTCCCTCCCCAGCGTTGAGACCAGGCTGCTGAGCAAAGGATGGTATTTCTGGAGGCCGAGGACACCAGAGTCTGGGGCAGACAGGAGAGACACCTACAGCCATCTCAAACCCGGCAAGAAATGACCTTGGAGATCCTCTGACCCAGTATTGGCCAAACATGAATACAGAGGGGGCGGGGCAGCTCTCGCAAGCCCTTCTGGGATCTCTGTGTAATAAGCTCCCCAGATAACTTTGAGGAAGGCTATGCGTCTGCACTGGAAGTAATTGATCAAGACCAAAGGATTTCTTGTGTTCCCCGTGGAAGCCTATGGCTCCTTGGGGGTAAAGGTGGAAGTATGGAGCCTAATAATTAGCAGTCTGGCTCCCATCCCACCTCCACGGCTTCATTTTAATCAATTTTCTGCGTGGAGAACTTTAGGTAACAGTTCCCATAAAAAAAAAAAAAAACGAGATCCAGCTGGGAATGTGGCTTAGTGGTAGAGTGCTTGCCTACCATGCATGAAGCCCTGGGCTCCATTCCTCAGTATAAACAGAAGAAGCCAGAAGTGGTGCTGTGACTCAAGTGGTAGAGTGCTAGCCTGGAGCACAGAGAGGCTCAAGGGCAGTGCCCAAGCCCTGAGTTCAAGCTCTACCTCCTACTGCCAAAGCAGTTTAGATAGCACTGGTCTGTCATGACCTTTCTCAGATGAGGAATTTGAGGCCAGCAGAGACTAGTGACTTAGGTTAGACCAGTCTGCCAGTTAGAATGCAGTAGAGTTTGATCCAAATCTTTTTTTTTTTTTGGCTTGTTTTGAACTCAGGCCTGGGCGCTGTCCCTGAGCCTCTTTGTGCTCAAGGCTAGCACTCTACCCCTTGAGCCACAGCACTATTTCCAGTTTTCTGGTGGTTCATTGGAGATAAGAGTCTCCCAGAATTTCCTGCTCAGACTCGCTTTGAAATGTGGTCCTCAGATCTCAGCCTCCTGAGTAGCTAGGATTACAGGCATGAGCCACTGGTGCCCAGCTTGAATGCAAATCTTTGTTTCCTTAATGCCAGGCTTTTGGTATCTGGTTGTTTGTCTGTCTTTTTTATATTTGTGTGTGCTGGGGTTAGAACTCAGAGCCTGAATGCTATCCCTAGCTTTTTTTACTCAAGGCTAGCACTTTACCACTTGAGCCACACCTCCACTTCTGGCTTTCTGGTTAGTTGAAGATAAGAGTCTTACAGATTTTTCTGCCCAGGTTGGCTTTGAACTGTGATCCTCAGATCTCAGCCCCCTTTATAGCTGGGATTACAGGCGTGAGCCACTTGCACCTGACTCTTCTGAAGAGAACAGAGAGGCAGATGTCAGGTTTTTTTTTCTTCCCACCCTGAATAGCTCTGTGGAATGGTCCAGACATCTCCAGCCAGGTTCCAGTGATCCCCAGCTAGGCAGGCTGGGGTTTGGAGGTAGACAGTAAGGTGGGATGGGACGGTGCGGGGGAGCAGCAGCATGTGGCGGTGAACCTAGAAAGGTGTCTCTGGAGAGGATGCTGTGCACAGGTCTTGGTCAGAGAGGGAGGAGGCCAGATCAGAGAGGTATTTGTCACCCCCTACTCCAACGCAGCGAGAGATTTTTTTCTTGCAGAGGATGAGAAAGTCTGTCCATAGAAACCTTTGGATGTGAGGACTTTATATTTTTAATTTTATTGTAGACAACTGCATTTCTATTTCTGACATAGCATTTAACTTGCAAATTTGCATGAATTATTAATACCCCTGGTGCATGCCGAGTCATGGTATAATGAAGCAACAGCTTGGGCCTGAGGAACTTTCCAGGAAGGACTAGGGCCAGGGAGACAGCCAAGGAGGGGAAGGACTGGGAGCTTCTGTCATCTCCCGTGGTCTTATTTCACCCATGGCCTGCATGGGCTTCAACTCTACTCAGAGGCCTGGGGGAGTATGGTTGCTTCCTCCCACTGTGCAGCTCCCTAAGGATTGAGATACTGAAGAGATGGAGAAGAGTTGTTGGGAAGTCTTGTCTTCCAGTGTCTCCCGTGCCCCAGGATACCTCGGGCCATGCCCATTTGCCCAGCCATAGTGAGTCCTTGCTAGGAGGTCCTCTATCTAGAGCCTGAGCCAGGCACTAGTAGCGCACGCCTGTAATCCCAGCTACTCAGGAGGCTGAGACCCGAGGATCACAGTTGGAAGCCGGCTTGTGCAGAAAAGCCTATGAGAGTCTTAATCTTCAGTTAACCAGGAAAAGGCTGGAAGTACAGGCATGGCTCAGGTGGTAGAGTGCCTGCCTTGAGCAGAAAAAGCTAAGGGACAGTGCTTAGGCCCTGAGTTCAAGCTCCAGTACTAGTGCTTGCGTACACACACACACACACACACACACACACACACACGCAGTGTCTCAAGGTTTCTGATTTCTTGGGAATGCTAAATATGCTTTCCTCCTGGCATGATTCAGAAGTACTGGCTAGGCCAGGAATCTGCAGCCTTCTAGCCAGTCAAGATGGATGAGGAGGAAGAGGAGGAGAAGGAGGAGGAGGAGGAGGAGAAGGAGGAGGAGGAAGAGGAGGAGGAGGAGGAGGAGGAGGAGGAGGAGGAGGAGGAGATGTGCACAAGAGCTTTGTACTACTCAAGGATGGGGAGAGGAGGCATGAATATAACCCCCTCAAGTTGCCTTAAAATGTTTCCAGCGTTAGAATCTCCACGCAGCTCCAACAGACTTGAACAGTAGCTAAGAAAAGACTCATCCCTCACACCTCCTCAGGACTTGTGGTGTTCAGTGAGAGAGGTCTGTCCCCAGCACGCATCGCCACCCCCAAGAGGCTGAGAGGCCGCTCCTGGGATGTAGGCCCTCATGCAGCGGTCTGCTCTCCTGGGCCTGCCCCCAGCCCCGCCCCCAGCCTCACTGTCTGGTCTGTGTAGCTGAGCTGAAAACCTCCCATTCATCCATTCCAACTCAATTACCTGATGGTGACAGATGACTGGCCTGGCAGGCTTTCTCATCAAGGGTTGGCGGTTTATTGGTGCTTAATAATCATGTGTTGAACTGATGGATGAATTCATCAGAGGATGATCCTTGATCTCCATAAGAGAAATGATCATTACTGCTGAGGGAGGGAAGGAGGGTGGCGGAGGACCGGAGTGGACTCGATGTCTGATGAAGATCTAACACTCCTATGAACAGCGTAAGTTACAGAAAACTCCGGGCTAAGACTGGAGGGAGAGAGCAAGAGGAGAATAATCCTGTCCATCCCACACACTCCTCTAAGCAGCCACTTCCAAACCTTCTAGATGTTTCCTCTAGCATCCATTTTTCTACATGACAGGCATTCCATTTTTTATTTTTTTTCTTTGTGCCAGTGCTGAAGCTTCCACTCAGGGCCTGGGTGCTTAGCTTTTTTTCACTCAACGTTGGCACTCTACCGCTTGAAGCTCGGCTCCACTTCCCATATCTTGCTGGTTTAATCAGACATAAGAATCTAGCAGACATTCCTGCCCAGGTTGGTTGCAAACTGTGATCCTCAGATCTCAGCCTCCTAAGTAGCTAGGATTATAGATGTGAGCTGCCTGCCAGCGCCTGGGCCTCTGCTGTTCCTTGACTTTTTCGTTTTAGACATTTGTAGCATCTATTGACTTCGTGTCATAGAGGAAGATTTAGCACCACATGAACACACAAACAAAACACAAGCAAGCCTTCTCCTACAGACCCAATGGAATTATAATTCTAAGTTTAAGTTAAATGATTTTACATATTTATATAAATAGGCCCTAGATGTTTTGTTTAATTTATCCCTACAACTCTTGAACTGAAGTCCAAAAACTCATAGCAAATAGGTCAGTCTTTGGTTTTTGTTTTGTTGCCAGTCCTGGGGCTTGGACTCAAGGCCTGGGCTCTGTCCCTAAGCCTCTCTATGCTCAAGGCTAGCGCTCTACCACTTGAGCCACAGCGCCACTTTCGGCTTTTTTTTTTCTTTTTGCTTATGTGGTGCTGAGGAATCGAACCCAGGGCCTTGAGCATGCAAGGCAAGCGCTCTACCACTGAGCCACCTTCCCAGCCCCTTACTCATTTTTTTCTAACACCTCTAATCTCTAACACAGCACTTGGTATACAGCAGGCACTCACTAAATGAGTGCTGAGTCACTGATGAGCAAACTGGCCTTGGGGTTCCCATGTGGAAGATGAGGACTTGGGAGCCAGTGTGTGTGTATGGCTAGCTCTCTGTGTATAGGGGAAGCAGAGAGTGTGGTTGAGCCACCAGGGGTGTTTGAAGGGGCATGTTCTAGTGGGGGCGTGCGGTCAAGGAGTGTCCAACGGGCGTGGTTTCCAGGCCTGTGGAAGGAGGCGTGGCATCTGTGTTGTGTCTCTGTTCCAGGGAGCAGTGTGTGCACAGCCCTGCCCACCAGGCACGTTTGGCCAGAACTGCAGCCAAGACTGTCCTTGCCACCATGGCGGGCAGTGTGACCATGTGACTGGACAGTGCCACTGCACAGCCGGGTACATGGGAGAGAGGTAAGTTGGGATCAGCTGGCCTCCTCCCTGTTCACTGCTTCTATCTGAACCTCAGCTTTGCTGAGGTTTGTCAGCCCAGGAAGCTCTCCGCAAAGTGTTCTGAGGCCTCCTGTCTACCGCAACTCACCTTTCCTCATCCTGGGCAAACAGAGTTTAACCTCTTACATCCAGGCCTTGGATTTGTTTACCTGGGGAAGGAATTGAGCACCTGCCACCACGCTGTGCTAATAGAAGCAAATAGAGTGCAGAGCACCGTAGCTCCTGCCTGCAATCTCTGCTATTCAGGTAGGCGAGACAGGAAGGTGATAGTTACAGGCCAGCTCAGGCAAAAAAAAAAACAAAGTTCACAAGTCCCCATCACAACCCATAGCTGGGTGTGACCATGTATACCTGCCATCCCAGCTACATGGAAAACATAATTAGGAAGCTCAAGGCCCAAGCCAGCCTGGGCATCATAACTGAGACCCTGTTTGAAAAATAACTAAGGCAAAAACAATGGACAAGTCACCAGTGCCCAACTCAGCTTCTCTTCTTAGAATCTGGCAGATGATCATAAAACAGAGAAGCCTCCCGAACCAAGGAACGTTCTAGCAAGCTCTGCCAATCAACCACAGTAGAGTTCATTCCAAGGACCAGGTAGCCATGTGGGTTTTCCATTCTAAACGGGCTGCCTGGTGTTTAACATTTTGTAAAATTGCCTCCATTAATTTTGTGGGTGACAGCTGTATTAGACCACCCCCAAATCATCGCGAGCATATTACAGTTGAGCGGGTGTAATAACGCAGGCCTCTGTGGATAGGCAGAATCCAGTGCAAATTAAACACAAAATGTAACGAGGGTTTTTGCAGCTCATTTTGTAATTTAATTGAGCAATGTATCTGGTGGTTAATGGCAATATCGGACGCATTAGACTGATAGGTTGCGAAGGAAAGATGTTTAAGTAGAAACCTAATTCCTGCTGTGATTACCCTTCTGTTCCGTGGCTCTCGTGATTAGCATGCTTTGTGTAAAATTCATTAGCAGTCATTGCTTGATCTCTAAATAAATAAGTTGTTTAAATTGTGAGTCAGGGAAAAAAAAATAAAAAGAGGCTGATTATGTAAATGGATTAGGTTGTCGATATTTCATTTCTAGATGGCTTTCCAGGGGGCTGTGCATTCATAGCCCAAAACATGGCTAGGTATACATCCTGTGGAGGAATGTCCCTGTGAGAGGGAGGTGACTTCCTGTCCTGACATTGAAGACACTTGCAGCCAGCAGGGATGGATAGTGCAAACAGGGATTTGGCAGGTTTTCTTTTTTTTAAATTTGTTTGTTATGTGCCAGTCCTGAGGCTTGAACTCAGGGCTTGGGCGCTGTCCTTGAGCAAGTTTTGCCCAAGGCTAGCACTTGACCACTTGGAGCCACAGTTCCACTTCTGGATTTTTGGTGGTTCCTTGGAGATAAGAATCTCTTGGACTTTCCCACGTGGACTGGCTTCATATGGAGATCCTCAGATCTCAGCCTCCTGAGTAGCTAGGATGACAGACGTGAGCTATGGGGGCCTGGTTTCTATGAAGGCTAACTGGTCTTGGGCCTTCCTTTCTGCCTCAGTTTCCCTCCTGCCCTCCTCCTTCCTGATTCCTATCTTGTCCCCTTATCCACCATTCTCCTTTCTCTGTCTTGTCTGCCTGTTTTCTCTCCATGAGGCCTCTGATGCACGCACACACAAAATTGACGGGAAAAGATGTCTTCTGAGCCATTTGCCAGGATGGAAGCCTCTCCTTCACATCAGACTCTTCAATTTCACAATGAGACCATCTACTGCCTCCAAGGCTAAGGATGGGGCTGGGGTCGGAGGCCACTAGAATCTATGCAGGACACAAACAGGGGTTCACAGACTTCAGGGAGAGACCAGCCCTGCATCGAGCGGTTCGCTGCTCCCAGGAAGGAAGAGGAAATTAGCCCTTGTGTGGGGACCTCTCCCCTCCTGGGAGAGCAAACACATCACCCAGTAAGATGAGAGAGCCCAATGTGGCCAAAAAGTTTCCCCCAAAATAGTACATTGATGTGAAATCACCCCCCACTTTATCAAGCCTAAGATGCACCAGTGATAAGATGCCTTGTAATTTCAGATACGGCTGAGAATGAAAAACACCAATAATTAAACTGTGTCCTGCCATCCTTCTAAGACCTATCTGATTTCTGAGTGCTTAAAATGTATTTTTAAGCACATGGTTTATCGTTAATGGGTGGGGGAGATCCCGTTTTTGACAATGAGAACATTGTGGAGATGGATGGTGGCAATCGTTGCAGGACCGTCTGAATATATTTACTGCTACTCCACTGCGCTTAATGGATTCAAAATGATAAATTTTCTCTTGCGTATTGTCTTAGTCTTGTCTGTGCTACTATGACAGAATACCTGAGGCTGGATAATTTATAAACCCAGCTTTCCAATTTTCACAGCTCTGAAGCCTAGGGACCTTGGGCTCAAGGTCAAGGTGCTGGCAGGTGTGGTGACTGGTGAAGGCCTGGTCTCTGACTCCAACATGGAGCCTTAAACTCTGGGTCCTCAGGTGTGGGAAGGGATGGAAGGACCAAGAAAAAGCCTGTCTTAATTCCTTCCAACTCTTCTATAAGGGCTTTAACCCATGGCCTTTGAGACCCAATCATCTCCCCAAGAAGGTGCCTCTTTTTACTGTTGCATTGTGGTTAAGGCTTAATGGGAATTTTGGTGGAACCATCAAGATTCAAGCCAGAGCACATTTTTCTTTTTTGTGTGTGCCGGTCCTGGGACTTGAACTTAGTACCTCATGCCCTCATTTGGCTATTTTTCCCCTCGCTCTACCACTTGAGCCATAGCTCCACTTCCAGCATTGTCATTGATGAATGAAAGACAAGCATCCCAGGGTTTCTGCCCGGGCTGACTTTCAACCAAGATCTTCCTATCTCAGCCTCCTGAGTAGCTAGGCCAGCACCCAGCACCATAGCACATTTTGTTTTTCTTCAAAATGAAAGCAACAGATAAGTCTTTAGCATCACTGAAATCAAATAGCACACATTCATTGCTGCCTCCCCCCCTCCCCAAAACTGGGGAGACCTGGCAGGAGAGAGGCTTGACTGGAGTAAGCTTCCTAAAAGAGGGGAGGAATTGTGGAGGCTGCCCAGAGGTGTAGAACACATCAGGCCATGCCTGGAGGCCTGGAAGGTTGCATGCTGGGCAGAGGGAGAAGGGCAGAGATTGAGAGCCCACCCAGCCTTAGCCCAGTCTGCTGTCCCACAGGTGCCAGGAAGAATGTCCCCTTGGAACCTTCGGCTTCCAGTGCTCCCAGAGCTGCGATTGCCACAATGGAGGCCAGTGTTCACCCGCCACCGGCGCCTGCGAGTGTGAACTGGGCTACAAGGGTCCAAGCTGCCAGGAACGGCTGTGTCCCGAGGGCCTGCATGGCCCAGGCTGCGCCTTGCCTTGCCCCTGCCATCCGGACAACACCATCAGGTACAACCATGGACAGAAGCCCCTGGGACAAGGGACAGAGTGGACTGTGGTAGACAAGGCTTCCTCAGACCATTCAGACCGGTCCTCTATCCATTTCCTGCCTCCTCGGTGGCTCAGGGACACCTGAGCGGTAGCTGGAGCCCAAGCCTGGGAAGGAGAGGCGCAGGCTGCACCCCGATGCTTCTCCCAGCATCCTTCCCTGTCTGTTTCATAGCACCCACTGCCTTCCTTTAATAAATGGGTGGTTAGTGCCAAGCACTGGTGCCTCACGCCTGTAATCCTAGCTACTCAGGAGGCTGAGGTCTGGGATTACAGTTTGAAGCAGCCCAGGTAGGAAAGTCAGTGAGACTCCTATCTCCAATTCACCAGCAAAATGCTGCACATGGAGGTGCAGCTCAAAGTAGTAGAGCACTAGCATTGAGGGAAAAAGCCAACCAAGAAATAAATTCAAGGCCTTGTGTTCAAGCCCTTACACTCTCTCTCTTTCTCTCTCTCTCTTACACACACACACACACACACACACACACACACACACGGTCCCAATTGGCTGTTCAGTGGATTGGCAGCTGACTCACACTGCAGGGGTGGAGGCTAGCCCTGGGACAGCCCACCCCTGCTGCTGAGAAACTGAGGAAGGACCCTCCGAGGGTCAGGAAGTCCAGCAACTACTGGGGCCCAGTACAGGGAGAATCTCCATCACAGAGAGCCAAGCGAGCCCCAAATTAAAGAGCTATTGTTTTCCTCTGCGCCTGAGCCAGCGTGCCCTGCATAATTTATCTTCCTTGGAAGGAACCCTTGATGCATTATTAATCTGGACGGACTCCCTCCTCTCCGTCGCTAATCTCAGCCCATCCAATATTAATGGCTATTTGCTTTACTGTCTTTAACACTTGTCATGTTTCAGGGGCTGAAAGCCATAGTGGTTCTTAGGAGTGGGGGTTCAAGGGTGCCTGCCTAGCCCAGCCCCGGGTAGATTGCTCAGAATCTGCAGCCCGAGCCTCCTCCAGAGAGGCTGACCCCCCCAGCCTGGGGCCCTGAGGGTACAAATAGTCTCTGTCTCTCAGACTGGCACAGAGTAGGCCTTCAGCAAAACACATTCTTCTGTCTGTGTGTGTGTGTGTGTGCGCGCATGTGCGTGCATGTACGTGCAGTGCTGGGCTTGAACTCGGGGCCTCCAGTTCTCAATTAGCTTTTTAGCTCAAGACGGTAGCTTTGCCCCTTGAGCCAAAGCTTCACTTCCAGCTTTTTGGTGATTCACTGGAGATAAGAGTCTCACAGACTTTTCTGCCCAGGCTGACTTCAAAGCATGATCCTCCTGATCTCAGCCTCCTGAGTAGCTAGGATGGCAGGCATGAGCGGTCTAACTTGCATGGTAAGTCTCCAGAGACCAAATCACTGATTCACCCAGGACCTTTCCCCGCCCACCCAGCCCTGGCCACACTCCCTGCCCCTTCCCTCTGGCCACACTGCTCCACCGAGATGGAAGGGATCGAAGGAAGACATTCATCAGGTCGGTGCGGGACCCACACAAAGAAGCCATCTGCCTTCACAAAAGCGTAATCTTGGGACCGGTATTGGGGTGCCGGGCTGCTGCCACGTCCCTTCCAACAATTGCATTGTCATAGATGAGTTCCAGCAGCCGCGATTGTGGATTCCCTTTGAAAGATTTGACGCGGCCCACGGGATGCAGCCGTGATAGAAATCACCAAGCGGCCGACAGAAAGGCAGGAAAATGCTTTCGGAAAAAAGATTTCCTGCATTGTGCAGCTTTCAGCTTCTATCCACTTGTGATTAATCTGTGTCCGGGCAAGGCAGAGACTAATGAACCAGCCTCGACACCTGCCATTGAGATTCTGGCCTGAGCCAGCCCAGCATGACCCAAGGGAATTGGGAGCCTTGCTGGGAGCCAACGCTGCCTGGGCCAGGGTGGGGGCCATGTGTGGATGCCGGCATGATCATTTTCAAGGCACATCCAGCAGAAGAAAGGCTACTGTTGGACCCACAGGGAGGTGCCTGAGACATTTTAAAGAGACATTTTAGAAAGAGACCTGCTGGCTCTTTCTAGGGTAAACATGTCCTGTCTTTGTGACTGTTACTCAGTGGGTCCTTCTGACTCTAATCCTAAATCCCAGAAGAGGCCCCCTTGATAGTTGAGACCCAGAAAGGCTGTGGGGCACAGGAAGGCCAAGGGTGGGAGGAGAAAGTATGTCCCATGATGCACCCCTCCCAGTCCCACAGGACATGGGGCTCAGGGAGAAACATTTCCAGAACTGCCAAGGTTGGAAAGTTTGTAGCACTCATGATTCATACCCATGCTTCTTTGCTATCTACTTACCATTTCATTTGTTTGAGGTTTTTTTCTTTGCTTGAACTCAGGGCCTGGGCATTGTCCCTGAGCTTCTTTTGCTCAAGGCTAGCACTCTACCACTTGAACCACAGCACCCACTTTTGGCTTTTTCTGTGTATGTGGCACTGAGGAACGGAACCCAGGGCTTCCTGCATGCCAGACAAGCACTCTACCACTAAGCCATATTCCCAGCCCTCTACTTACAATTTTAATGCTTTACATCTGTTTAGAAATTAGGTAGACACTCAGTGGGGGAAGATTAGAGAAAACAGATTTTTTTTTCTTTCCTTTCCTGGCAGTATTAGGGCTTAAACTCAGGGCCTCATTCTCCTTCTCTGATTTCTTGCTCACAGATGGTGCTTTAGCCACTTGAGCCATGGCTCCAAACTGGTGGTATTCTTCTTTGTTTGCTGTTTAACTGGAAATAGAGTCTTCCAGACTTTTGTGTCCTTTGTTGGCTTTGAACCATGATCTTCAGATTTCATCCTCCTGAGTAGCTAGGATTACAGGTATAAACCACCAATGCCTGGCTAGACATAGGCATTTATTTATTTATTATGTTTGTACCAGTACTGGGACTTGAACTCAGGGTCTAAGCACTGTCCCTGAGCTTTATTGTGGCACTCTACCACTTGAGCCAAAGCTCCACTTGTAGCAGCTTTTTTTTTGGTAGTTAATTGGAAATAAGAGTTTCCAAGACTTTCCTGCCTGGGCTGGCTTTGAACTGCAGTCCTCAGATCATAGTCGCCTGAGTAGCTAGGACCAGAGTAAACCGCTGGTCTCTGGCTGTACATAGATATTTTTTTTTTTTTTTTTTTTTTTTTTTGGGTCCGGTCATGGGGCCTGAACTCTGGGCCTGGGCGCTGTCCCTCAGCTCTTCAGCTCAAGGCTAGCGCTCTACCACTTGAGCCACAGTACCACTTCCGGCTTTTTTCTTTTTGCTTATGTGGTGCTGAGGAATCGAACCCAGGGCCTCATGCATGCAAGGCAAGCGCTCTACCACTGAGCCACCTTCCCAGCCCTGTACATAGATATTTAAAGAAGTAATTTAGTCCCTCATAATTTCTCAACAAAACAGGCATTGTCTTGTAATTTGTTCATTCTTCATCAGTGTCTGTATTTTTTACATTTTGGATCTTGGCTGAATGTAGTTATTTTATTTCACATGGTATTATTAGATACTCTAGAAAATGATGAGCTTTCTTCCCTTTTACTTCCCTTCCTTTCCTTTTCTTTCTTCCCTCCCTTCCTTTCCTTCTCTTTTCTTTTCTTTCTTGTGCTGTCCGGGGCTTGAACTCAGGGCCTAAGCACTGTCTCTGTGCTTTTATCCTCAAGGCTAGTTCGCTACCACTTGAGTCATTGCTCCACTTCTGGCTTTTTGGTGGTTAATTGGAGTGATAAGAGTCTCATTAGCTGGCACCAGTGGCTCATGCCTGTAGTCCTAGCTACTTAGGAGGCTGAGTTCAAAGCCAGCCCAGGGAAGGAAAGTCTGTGAAACTCTTTATCTCCTATTAACCACCAGAAAACTGGAAGTGGTGCCATGGCTCAAGTGGTAGAGCGCTAGCCTTGAGCTGAAGAGCAGAGGGACAGCACCCAGGTCCAGAGTTCAAGCCCCATCACCGATCAAAAAAAAAAAAGGAATCTCATGGACTTTCCTCCTGGGGCTGGCTTCAAACTATAATCCTCAGACCTCAGACTCCTGAGTAGCTAGAATTACAGGCGTGAGCCTTTGGCACCTTGCTAGTATCTTTCTTCTATTTATCCATAATTCATATAACAAGGAATCTGTTGTTAAAAATGACACCGATGGGCAAGGAAGCAAATGTGGACAGACAGACCTGCATGTGACTTGAGTGTGTGACACTGGAGTTAGTCACATAACCTCCAAATGCCATTTATGACATAGAGGCTTAAATGACTAATTAATCGGCTTACTGAAGATTAGAAATATGTGTACACGATGCCTGGTGCTTTAATAGCCAGCTCACATATTATTTATTATTATTCAAATTGCTTCCATTTTCCACTGTTATAAATAATGCTTCAGGGAACATCTCTGTGCATAAATCTTTCTCTACAACTATGATTATTTCCTTAGGAGAGATTCTTAGAAATGGAATGACAAGACAAAGGAATCGGAATATTGTTAGGCCTCCTGATGCGTAACCCCAAGCTGCTTCAGAAACCTTGGCTGATGGTTTTTTAGATCTCCACTGTTTTTATAAAGCGTTTTCCAATTGTTGTTTAGACTCTGTGTGTGTGTGTGTGTGTGTGTGTGTGTGTGTGTGTGTGTGTGTGCGCGCGCGCGCGCTCGCTGATACTAAGGCTTGAACTTAGAACCTGGGCACTGTACCTGAGTTCTAATGCTCTACCACTTTGAGTCACAGCTCTACTTCCAGCTTTTCAATAGTTAATTGAAGATAAGAGTCACTTGGACTTTCCTGCTTAGGATGACTTTGAACCATGATCCTTAGATCACAGCCTCCCGAGTAGCTAGGATTTACAAGCATGAGCTACTTGCATCCAGCCCTTGGTTAGATTTGATGGTTCAGGAGACTAAACATTTTTCCAAATGGACTGCCAGCTTTTTGCACTTACTATTCAAGACTGATCTATTTCTGTCTACCTCCTCATTTGTTCTGAGAGAACCCCCACCAAAGAGAAGTTGTTTGGCTGGGCTGTGGACAATTAGTGTCCATTAATTCATCTGCCAAGCCAGCACTCGGCATCTTCCAGGTGCCACAGCCCTGCAGGGCCCTGCTGGTGACCATGGACAAGGGCCAGTCAGCCAGCAGGGCTGACAGGACAAACAAGTCAACAGACACCTAAACACACACACACACACACACACACACACACACACACACACACATCAGCGAAGGTGGCATGCACTCCCAAATAGGTACCTGCCTCCTCTTGGATCACCAGGCGGTCCCTCCCTCCAGCCAAATGGTCCATTCTGTGATTTAAACAAACTGGGATGGAGGAGAACTTGCTTCCTGGGCAGGCAGGGACTTAGGCTGTACATAGAGCGCCTCCCATTGGTAGAATCTCAGATGTCATTGTTTTCTTCCCCTGCCTGGCCTCATTAGTTATCTGTCTTGAGGGAGGCATGAGGAAAGCACCAAACCCCCAAGGACTAAACAGGCCACCCCTAGTTTGGTCTCTAGATTTGGAAAGAGCACAACAAGTTTTAGCCAGGCACCAGTGGCTCACTTCTGTAATCCTGACTACTCAGGAGGCTGAGAAGTGAGGATCATAGTTTGAAGCCAGCTCAGGTAGACAAATCTTAGAAGTTTTTAATCTCCAATGAGCCAGCAAAAAACTGGGAAGAGCAGTGTGAATTAAGTTAGAGTTCCAACCTTGAATTTAAAAAAAAAAAAAGCCAAGTGAGAGCTAGAAGCTCTGAGCTCAAGTCCCAGTACTGGCATCAAAAAAAATTAAAAAAAACACACAAAAAATGTGGGAATGAGAAGTTCTGGGTTCTAATTCTAATGTGTGACTTTACATTGCATAACCTCTCTGATCCTCTGTGGGGACTAACAAGATCACCTACATGCCAGGTGGTTCACACCTATCATCCTAGCTACTCAGGATGCTGCGGTCTGAGGATCATGGTTTGAAGCCAGCCCAAGCAGGAAAGTCCATCACACTCTTATCTTCAATTAACCTCCCAGGAAACCGGAAGTGGCATTGGGCTCAAAGTGGCAGTGATAAAGCTTAGGGATGTGGCCAGGCCCTTAGTTCAAGCCCTATGACCGGCCACACAAATAAAAAGATCATACACACGGGCATGTTCTGAGGTCCTGTGATCCTACCACCTAGGCAGACCAGCTTTGGGGCAGGCAGAAGGGAGGGACATGACTGCATCTATAACTATCTTGTCTCTCTACCTTTCTGTACGCTGCTCAGCTGCCACCCGGTAACCGGAGCCTGTACCTGCCAGCCGGGCTGGTCTGGCCACCACTGCAATGAGTCCTGCCCTGCTGGCTACTTTGGCGATGGCTGCCAGCTGCCTTGCACCTGTCAGAACGGCGCCGATTGCCACAGTGTCACTGGGAGCTGCACGTGTGCCCCGGGCTTCATGGTAAGGTGGGAGGAGGCTCCCGTGGCTTCTCTGGCCCTCACCAGGCCCCTTCTAAGACCCCCTGGCAGTCAGGAGTGTGGCAGCCCTATGTGCTCTGAGGACTGTGGTTATAACTAGGGTCTCCCCATTGTCCGCCTATACTGAAACACTGGCTGTCTTCTTGTGCTCAGCTCTGTCCCTGTACACATAGTACTTTCACATCATAATACCCACAGCACACTCAGCAATTTTGCAATCCGCTTTCTTCTGCATATACGTCTTGGGGGATAGAAGAAAGCAGAATGCAAAATAGAAGCTGCTGGGCTTCTCGTTTTAAATGGCTGCATGCCAGGCACTGGTGGGTGGCTCACACCTATCATCCTAGCTACTCAGGAGGCTGAGATTTGACGATTATGGTTCAAAGCCAGCCCAGGTTGGACTCTTATCTCCAATTAACCACCCCAAAGCTGGAAGTAGAGATGTGGATCAAGCACCAACCTTGAGTGAAAAAGCCAAGCAAAAGTACAGGCCATCCAGTGCTGGTGGCTCATGCCTATAATCCTAGCTACTCAGAAGGCTTAGATCAGAGGACCATGTTTGAAGCCAGCCCAGGCAGAAAAATCTGTGAGACCCTTATTTCCAATAAACTACTAGCCAGAAGTGGTGCTGTGGCTCAAGTGGTAGAGCACTAGCCTTGAGCACAAAGAGGCTCAGGGACAGCGCTCTTGCCAGCCAGGCTGTGCTGAGTTCAAGCTCCAGGACTGGCAAAAAAAAAAATTACAAGGCCCTGAGTTCAAGCCCCAGTACGGGTGCTCATGCGTGCACACATACATACACCTTAAGTGGCGTTTAACACAGAGGGAGCTGATAAATCGCATTTACCCAGCCATTCCCTCATTGCTAGGTAGAAAGTTGTCCCTATGTGTCCACTCAGTGCTACAGTGAGCATCTGTGCACAAACACCCCCCACCCAGCCCCTTCCTTACCATTGAATTATTTCCTTGGGGTGATTTGCGGGTCAGTGGGCACACCATATTCACAGCTCCTGATGGATGCTGCCGTCCTCAAGGGTTCTATAAATCCACTCTGCACGCACCAGCTCTCAACAATTTTGCTTTCTTCTTCTTTTTTTTTTAACATTTGCTAATGACTTAGGTAGGAAATGGCTCCTGGATGTTGCTCTAATTTGCATTTCTCTGATTACTACACTTCCCCCCATGTGTTTGTTTACTACTTGTCATTATTTCCTCGTAAATTATGTTGGTTTTAGTGAGGTCTGATTCTGAGGAACTTGACCCTGGGAGGGTGAATCCTGGTGAGAAATGGGGCCTGCCCTGTGGGTCCAAGCAACCCTACAGTCGGGGTTCCCCCTCATTCCCCAGGACTCTGTTTATTTGCTTTTTTTTTTTTTGCTGTGCTGTGGGAAGTGGTTTGTGCAGTTGAGAGTATGTGGCCTCTGAAACCAGATCTAGGACAGATCCTGGCTGATCTGTTCACTCCGTGTAGCCTGGGACCAGTAGCCTAAGCTCCCTGTGGATCCAGTATCCTTAAACTTCCATGGAATGGAACATTGCCTTTCAACATAGCTTCCAGGGCTGGGAATGTGGCTTAGTGGTAGAGTGCTTGCCTAGCATGCATGAAGCCCTGGGTTTGATTCCTCAGTACCACATAAACAGAAAAAAAAAACAGAAATGGCGCTATGGCTCAAGTGGTAGAGTGCTAGCCTTAAGCAAAAGAAGTTCAGGGACAGTGCATCAGCCCCAAGTTTAAGCCCCAGGACTCACAGAGAGAAAGAGGGAGGGAGAAAGATTGCTTCCAGGCTGGAGACTCACTGATGGCTCATGACTATTATTCTGGCTACTCAGTAGGTTGAGATGTTAGGATCAAAGTTCAAAATCAGCCTGGGTGGGAAACGCCACAAGACTCTTACCTCCACTAAAAAGCTGGTCGTGGAGCTGTGGCTCAAGTGGCAGAGTATCATCCTTGAGCAAAATTTAAGTCAAGCAAAAGTGCAAAGCCATGAATTTGAGCTCCGGTACTGTGGCACAATTTTTTTTTCAAAAATTATTTTAAAAACTGAGCAAGTTGGGTGGTGGTGGAAGCTCATGCCTGTAATTTTAGCTAGCAGGGAGCTGAGATCTTAGGATCACAGTTCAAAGCCAGCCCAGACAGGGAGACTCTTATCTCCAATAAACCACCAGAAAACTGGAATGAAGCTGTGGCTCAGAGTGGTTGAGGGCTAGCCTTGAGCGAAAAGAGCTCAGGGACTGAGTTCAAGCTTCACAACTGACAAAAAAGAAAGAGGGGGGAAGGGAAGGAGGGAGGGAGGGAGGGAGGAAGGGAGGAAAGAAGGAAGGAAGGAAGGAAGGAAGGAAGAAGAGCTGGGAGAAATGAGCAGAAACAATGGTTCTGGGTTGCCAGTTATTCCACTGGGAGTTTACAACTGTGAGACATTGCTTCAGCACCTTGGATAGAGCCAAGATGATGGTCAGTGCCTGAACCTTGTACTGAATCAGGAAACGCACTCCTCCTGGGTAAATAGCTGTGAGAAGGTGTGTGCATCCATAGTCTGTCAGGTCCTTGGGGGCTTTTTGATCCGGTTGTGTATATTGTCATGGCTCCCTTGAGAGCCCCAACTCACCTGACTGCCTGATTACCGCTCCTCAGCAAGGGGAGAATCAGAAGGCCCTGGGAAGGCTTAGAGAGGCTTGCAGCTACAGCTGAATATTTTCAGCCACCCATCTGCGATGTAAATGATTTCCTGTCCTTGAACTTCGGGGAAGAGGGGGTTGGGGCCGGTGGAGTCCTGCCTTCCTGAGGACCAGGACTAAGATAGATTGTGAGACACACTGCCCCCATTGACACCCCCACCAATTCTCACTCATTTTCCTTGCAAAGGCTTTTCCTGAGCCATCTTGGGTCAGCAGGATGCTGCTGGAGGTGATTACAGAATGGACAGTGAGCCTTGGGATCAGCCGTGGCTCCTGACCCCCAGCTTCTGAATGAAAGAGACTTCCTGCAATTAGCCAGTCCGGGTGAGGTAGGTGGGGCAACCAATCAGCAGAGCAGACTCAGCTGAGGCTCCCCACAGAGTGCTCCTTCCAGTCAGTAATAATTAGCAAGGCCTTGTCTGTTGGATGGTTTGCAAATTGATCTCTTTGCTCGTTTACTGCAAGGTTTTACGATAGGGAATTAGTGAAGGGCTAATTAGAAGAGCTGCTTTCTGAGTGTTCTGGAGACTTCATTCTGGGCTTTGTCACCTTGGACTTGATCCTTCACCCAGTTGGGCCTTACGATCCTCATCTGGGAGCTAGGTGGTCTTTTAGTCTTAGATGGATGTGAGTAGCCCACATGGGTGTCCTGCTGTCTCCTCTCTGCTCTCCTTCTCCACCAAGAGCTGTTGAGGGAACGTGTGGGAGAAGCTTTAAGAAAGCGGACTCTGGACAGACATCGTAGCACACACCTGTAATCCTAGCTACTCAGGAGGCTGAGATCTGAGGATTTTGGTTTGAGATCTGAGGATCACAGGCAGGAAAGTCCATTTTGAGACTCTTAGCCTCCAATTATCCACCAGAAAACCAGAAGTAGACCTGTGGCTCAAAGTGGTAGCATGCTAGCCTTGGGTAAAAGAGCTCAGGGACAGTGCTCAAGTCCTGAGTTTGAGCCCCACAACTAACAAAAATAAAGCCAGAACTAGAGTTTGTGATTCAAATGCAGAGCACCAGCCTTGAGTGGAAAAAAACCCAAATGAAAGTTCTAGACTCTGAATTCAAGCCCCAGTACTGGCACAAAACAAACAAAAATAAATATTAAGAATACTGGCCAAGGGCTGGGAAGGTGGCTTAGTGGTAGAGAGCTTGCCTTGCATGCATGAGGCCCTGGGTTTGATTCCTCAGCACCATATAAGCAGAAAAGGCCAGAGGTGGTGCTGTGGCTCAAGTGGTAGAGCGAGCACTAGCCTTGAGCTGAAGAGCTGAGGGACAGCGCCCAGGCCCAGAGTTCAGGCCCCACGACCGGACCAAAAAAAAAAAAAATTATACTGGCCAATTAAATTCATTAGTATATGCCAAGCACTTAGAATGCCTTGTGTATTAATAATCATCCAACAAGGCTTAGCTATTGTAACCATCTTTAAAATATGGATGCTGCACCCAGTGCTCGTGGCTCTTGCCTGTAATCCTTGCTACTCAGGAGGCTGAGATCTGAGGCTCGAGGTTCAAAGCCAGCCCCAGCAGAAACATCTGTGAGACTCTTATCTCCAATTAACCACCAGAAAACCAGAAGTGGCACTGTGGCTCAAGTGGTAGAGTGCTCACCTTGAGCTGAAGAGCTCTTCCTATTTGTCCCATTGGGTCTCTGGCTGGGGAGAGGGGGCCTGGTTTATTGGGGGCCCAAGTGGAAGTATGGTGAGAGGAAGAAGCAGAACAAGCTACATGTAGCCTTTTCTGAGCTGGGAACTGCAAGGTTACTGGGGCTCCTGGATTGCTCTGGGAGGTTGGGGCAAGTCCAATTTCTAGATCCCCCATAATCCTCTGCTGACCAGTGCCCTATCCCTTATTTAAAGCCTCACCTGGCAGCCAGCCTGATGGCACCCCTTGAACTGCTCTGGGACTAATTGCTGCCCCTGTGGTGCCTGCAATGAGAGTTCTGTGAAGTCACTGACCATGGTCTTCTTGGCCTCCTCCCAGCATGGAGCCCTTGTGGCTGGGAGATAAAGGGCCCTTGGACATCCTTTGGTCCAGATGCTCTCTTCCAGCCTTGGCTGTAATGGGGACAGGGAGTTCAGGAGGCGGGAGTGGAGGGGTGGGTGGGGGTAGGGAGGGAGGGAGGGGAAGGGCTCAGTGTCCCCTCCTGGGGGAGTAACAGAGGCCATATTTCTCCTCAGAACGACAGCATTTCTATTACCTTAAAGGGCTCATCTATTTATGCGGCAATTTTTTGTGAAGGCCTGTCTGCCATTATTGAACCCTGCTTGCTGGTGAGGGGGAGTGAGCACTCCATCACCCAAATGAACAAACTCC